TTCTATGAAATTACTTTGATCCATAAAACTCTTTGAAATAAGAATTGAACAATAATCTTTATAAATTGACTAAACCTTTATTCCACATAATTGTAAAAATAATACATCAAAACTTATAATCTCCAAATATACATTCGTATTAACACTGATGTCTAATTTCATAACAAATTATACTATGACAACTCAACCTCTAGCAGCGGAGTAACTCGGAATAAAGTGCTATAAGATGCCTTTACCAATCCACGATGGACTGAAAATGCCGATGACTGCACTCTAGGCTTATCACTATCTGTAAAAGAGAGTTAAGGGGGTGAGTCTCACAAACTCAGTGATCATCAACTTCGTGAGCAGGGCATAGATGGGAAACAAGCTTAAAGTAGATAAGTTGAATAATAAAACTAGAATATCAAATTATAATCTTAAGAAACCAAATCATAAGTATGATATTTGTGCCTTGTAAAAATAATGCCATAAAATCATAATGCAATATCTCACTTGGCAAAACGGTACCGAAAACAAGTGTAGCAAAACAGAATTTAATCATCAAAAACATCACTTACCATCAAAATATGAATAACAGTATAAAAGTATGCATGCTCTCAAAATGTGTGGCATGTAAAGAAATCAAAGTGTATAGCCACATAAACCATTTCATGATCATCAAGTAAGCACTGAAAGCTTTTATTCAAATAAAAGGAGCTGTAAAAAAATCTTAACTTTCCACCATGCAAAAGAGTATGCATCCAAAACTCACAAGGCTCTTGGGTAGGTAAGTATCGTAATCACTCGTGGACCCACTTTCACGTAATAACATCCGAGAGCTCTGCTCCATCAGATCCCCACAGCCATGGTAGTCTCAATGATGTTGGTCGACATCGACGAATCAAGCGATCGCAACTGCGAATATCACTTGTGGCTTAGCCACATATAACAACTCGTGGCCTTGCCACGCATATCATAGACTATGGCCCTAATCATATCTAACAGCCCAACGGTGATCCAAAAGTTCTTCAGCTAGAGTTCACTTGTGCACAAGGGTCACAGTTGACCAAAGTGACAGCCGGCATACTCTCAATGCTCTCGATTTTTTAAAACTGTTTTCGAAACCAAATCAAGTTTTTAAAGGCTTTCCTTTTAAATCATTTGAAATCAAAGTTCAATAACCCTTCAAATTGCTTTTCACTTTAAACTGCATGGTGGAAACACTTTGTACAAAGATCGAAATAAAACTGGTGCTCAAAACTTGCATTTTAAATCATCTAACAAATGCATTAAGCTATGCATATCACACAAAAATATAAGGCACGAATTTTGATGTAAACATCGTGAAAGGCTTATTTCCCGGCTTCTAAAACTCTTTACATATATAGCTTATCTATAGATATATCCAAATCACTTTAAAAACACTTGCACTTACAATTTCCTACGATTTCTATGAGCTCATGCTTTCCACAATAGCTATATATAAATCATTGTAAATCCGTTTTAAAATTACCTATCAAGGCTAACAGCTCATGCTATCTACAAATGCATTTAAGAAAAACCAATCATATTTATTAACCTAAAATAATATATAGTACGAGATTTTAAAATCGACACCCCTTACTCACTTTACAATAGCAGGACAGTACATCGCTATCAATTCAGGTGCATGTTTAGCTAATTCTACTCGCCGATTACCCATTACCTCCTCCGGCTCGCCACCATAGCACATATTCTTTACTTATACACTTCTTAGCAACCATATAAACTCAATACACTTAATTATTCACATGCATGGCAGCACATCAATCAAAAAATCCGTAGCCTAATTTCATAGCTTTCATCAACCTTACTCACAATCATTTAATACACAATCCACATACTATCAACTAAACAAAGCCAACCCAACACCATGCATTGACATTGCATGCTTACTTTTCGATTTTAGCTTGAGTTCCACATATAATCCGGCATTCCTCACATTCTCGGTCACCATTACTGCCATAAGCATAAACAATTAGCACACATCTCATTTCTCTTGTCTATTTGTGAATTCAAAACTAAAGTACCCACCCATTGCTTATCTAGCTCCAAAATCAACATGCATTCCAAGTTTAACCCACATGGATGCATCTATTTCTTACAAATCTTGGAGGACCCTTGCTGCCAAAAACATTCTCACACAATTACCCACTCATTTCCTTAAGAAATCATAACCAAAATCAAAGTTCCACTTACCTTCCTTAGCTTAGAACCACTAGGTCAAACCTTCCTTGTCTTTTTCTTCTTTCTCCTTTCTTGTGAAATCTTCTTTTTCTTTCCTTTTCTTCTCTGATGGGCTGACCTCTAGAGGTTAAAGGCTTGAAAATGGTTTTCATCTTCTCATTTTACTCCCACATGGGTGGATTGCCCAAGGTTGCTTACTTTTTCTTTTTTATCTTTCCTTTACGTGTCAGACCATGTAATTTTCTTTCTAGTTATTATCGCCACTCCCATTGGTGGCTTGTTCATGCTATGTTTCCTTATCCATTCCTTTATCGTTTGGTTAGATTGCCTTTTCCATGCATTGGTCCACATGGCATTCTCTTTTGATTTATTTTATTTGCATTTCATTCCACATGTGTTTCTACGCATTTCATTTTTATTTTCCTTTTAATGCCACATTATTCCTCCAATCACACTCCATGTACAAGCTTTACTTTACATTTTATTTGGCCATTTATCCAACCAATCAAGTCTCATGCAACCCACATTTCATTTTCCTCATTTGATCACCTAACCAATCACATTACATGCAAATCAACTTAACTTTATCTTTCATTTTTCTTCACATGGTGGGGGTCTCACATGTTTCCCACTAACTTCTCTTTTTGCCTGCTATATTTTACATGTAATAGTGAATTCATGTGTACATCTCATCATCCCACATAACCTAACTTCCCTTGGTTAATTAATTTCCATTTAACTTCAAATATTGTAATTGCATATAAATCCTCCTCAAACTTTGCCTTATTTACCATGTGACCCTGCGAAATTTTCTCCTTAGTAAATTTAAAGGAGAGGACTTAGGTGAGGAGGCCAAACTTCTATAAAAACTTTTGTATTGTTTTCTCTTCTATTCTTCTCAAATTTACTTATGTTCTTAGCTTCTTTCTCTGCACAAAAAAAAAATTATTGTTTTGCTCAATTTTAAAAGAAGGGATTTAGTTTTAAAAAAATTTTATTTCTCTCAAATTTAAAAAGAAATTTCAAAAATTTCCAATTCATCCCTCTCTTGAAAATATTCATATTAAACTTATTGCATTAACAGCTTAAATGCTAGGTTATTTCTATCATAGTGGTCATTTGTAGGTCCTACTCTAAGGTTATGTTTGGCTGGTGGAATAGGCAGGAATGGAATAGAATAGTTATTATATGAGAATAGAATGAGGTGAGAATAGAATATAATAGTTATTACTTTGTTTGGTACGACAAATGGAATATGACATAAATAGTTATTATAACTTATTACAGTGTTTGGTTGGTAACAATAATTTTGGAATAAGAAAGGAATAGAAAATAAAAAGACAAAAACATCTTTTATTATTTATATGACTATTTATTTTTATTAGATTTTTAAAATATTAATAATCTAGAATTTAATTAAAATATTAATAGTTAATCATTTAAATATAAATATTTCATTTATAATTTAATCATTAATATTTTATTTAATTTAAACATTATTATGATCAATTATTTTATTTTATTTTATTTTTAAATATTAATAATTGATAATTTCAATATTAATATTTTATTTGTAATTTAATCATTAATATTTTAAAATATTAATATTTTTTAATTTAAATATTATTGTGATTAATTATTTTATTTTATTTTTTAAATATGAATAATTGATAGTTTATTTAAAATATTAATAATTGACCATTTAAATATTAATATTTATTTATAATTTAGTCATTAAAATATTAAAATATTAATATTTAATTTAATTTAAATATTATTATGATAAATTATTTTATATTTATTTTTAAATATTAATAATTGATTATTTATTTAAAATATTAATAATTTAATAATTAATATTTTAAATTATTAATATTTTATTTAATTTAAGTATTATTATGATTAATTTTTTATTTTATTTCTTTTTATTTTATTTTTAAATATTAATAATTGGTAATTTATTTAAAATATAAATAATTGATCATTTAACTATTAATATTTTATATATAATTTAAATGATATTATGCTTATTTATTTTTAATTTATTTTTTAAATAGGAATAATTTATAAGTTATTTTATTAATAATTTATATTTTAAATATTAATATTTTATTTATAATTTAATATTTATTATTTTAAACTATTAATATTTTATTAAAAATTGGAATCAAGGTAGAGGAAGAGGAGAGAGAAAAAATAATATTT